ATATAGAGTAGACGAGCCCCATAACGAGACCGAAAGACTCAAAGCCTTCTTCCTCTTCTTCCACCCTTTCTGCGAGTACTGTCGGTTGGGATTGGAGTCACATCCTCTGCGTAACAAAAACAATAACAATGTGAGAGATTTGTTCGTTCAAAGACGTAATTCAAACATTCTAGATGAAAGTTTCCTTTTTTTTCTTACCAATACGACCGATTTTCATGCCAGAGCGAGCAAGGGCTCTTAGTGCAGACTGAGCACCAGGACCAGGGGTCTTGGTCTTGTTACCACCAGTGGCACGGAGCTTCACATGCATGGCAGTGATTCCAAGTTCCTGTAATTGCATAAATTACATTCACAAATCAATAACGTTTACAAAACATACTTACTAAATTCTCAGCTTGGTATTGCAAGCTTTTTGGCCTTACCTTGCATCGTTGAGCGACATCTTGTGCAGCAAGCATAGCTGCATAAGGTGAGGACTCATCTCTGTCAGCTTTCACCTTCATTCCACCTATAGATGTTAGTTAAAACCAAAATATACATTTAGTAGTCAAGAACAATGGAATTCCTCAAAAGTTCAAACTGTAAAAAAAAAAAAAACCGAAACTAAAGAGGACCATAATATTCAACGCTACCACACCTAACTAGCTTCTCTGTGCAATACATTCATGTAGAGCAAGAACAAGGCAATTTCTATATGATATCAATAGATTCTTCAAAGACCTAAAAAGAGCAGAGACTAAAGACAGCGCATCTCACAGTCACTAGAGAATACAAGTACCATAGAATCATAAACCAACCAACCAAAGGTAAAGTTTACATAGATCTCATCTCATTCTCGCTAAATTCTCAAATCTACCAAAGAATTTGAGAGAGTTACGATAGATGCTTACGAGTAATGCAAACAAGTGCATCTCAGTCACTAGAAACTACAAGTACCATAATATCAGAAACAACCGAAGCTATGTAGTCTACAATTACAATGATTCATCTCATTCTCACTATATTCTCAAATCTACCACAGTATTACAGAGAGAGTTACGAAAGATGCTAACCAGTGATGCGAACAAGTGTTTCCCTTCCAGACAAATCAGTCACATGCTGCAATTGGAAATATAAAACAAAAAATCAGCTATGTATATGGAAAATTCTCAACTTTGGTCGAAAATTAAAATACGAGATAAGAAGATCACACTCACGATGAATGTGTCGTTGAATGAAGCAAAGATGTGAACAACTCCAAAAACGTTTTCTCCTTCACGAACAGCTGGTCCAAGAGTTACATTCTCTACCTTTGGCTCTCTCGTCTTTTTCTTCGACTACACAATTCCATCAATTACTATGCGATTGTAA